CGAAAATTTCAAGTACCCCCACCCGTCTCCGGGGAGGAAAAAGTCTGAAAGAAACACTGGTGTCGCGCTTAGCCACTACCCGAAGAATTGCATTAAAGAAATTGCAAGAAAACCACTTTTTAGATTAGACACATTAATTAGGCGGTAATTTTATTATAGAGTATCGATGAAGAAATTTCTTTTGAGTTAGGGAGGGGGGGCTCAGACGTTCTTACGCGGGGGTGGGGCTTCGCCCCTACCATAAGAATTGTATGAATGAAACCACTGAGATTAGACAAAATTGGGTTTTTATTCAATGTTTACTCGAGAATCAATGACGTCATATTACTGTGTACACTCTCCGGCTTGATAATATTTTCTTCTATATGCTCAATGACGTCATCTATAATAATAGTTTCGCTGTATTTTCATAATTTCACTATGCATGTTTTTAATTTCCTTGTGTTTTCTCTAGAGCGTTCTTGTCAGACAGATAGATAGATAGATACATAGAGAGACAGCGAAACTATTAGTATTAACGAGAAAAATGGCCCGTTGAGGAAGGATACAACGGGCGCTAGGCTGATAATGCTGTCTTTTTTCTCTAAACTAAAACCAACCCCCCCACACACACCACCCCCACCCCCACCCCCACACACCACCCCCCCCCCCCACACACCACCACCCCCCCCCACCCCCTTCCCCCCCCCCCCCACACACCTCCCCCCCAAAAAACATGTCTACCGTCCCATTCAACGAAATATAATTATATACTTTTTCCAGTGTCCGCCCCCTCCCCGAAAATTCTACCCCCGCCCCCGAAAATTTCAATTACCCCCACCCCTCTCCGGGGAGGAAAAAGTCTGAAAGAAACACTGGTGTCGCGCTTAGCCACTACCCGAAGAATTGCATTAAAGAAATTGCAAGAAAACCACTTTTTAGATTAGACACATTAATTAGGCGGTAATTTTATTATAGAGTATCGATGAGGAAACCACCCCACCCCCCCACACACACACACCACCCCCTCCCCACACACACCACCCCAGCCCCCCACACACACACACACCACCCCCCCACCCCCCCCCCCCACACACACACCACCCCCACCCCCACCCCCCCAAACACACACACCACCCCCACCCCCACCCCCACCCCCACACACACCACCCCCACCCCCAAAAAAAAACCTGTCTACCGTCCCATTCAACGAAATATAATTATATAGGCCCTACTTTTTCCAGTGTCCGCCCCCCTTCCCGAAAATTCTACCCCCGCCCCCGAAAATTTCAATTACCCCCCACCCCTCTCCGTGGAGGAAAAAGTCTGAAAGAAACACTGGTGTCGCGCTTAGCCACTACCCGAAGAATCGCATTAAAGAAATTGCAAGAAAACCACTTTTTAGATTAGACACATTAATTAGGCGGTAATTTTATTATAGAGTATCGATGAAGAAATTTCTTTTGAGTTGGGGAGGGGGGGGACTCAGACGTTGTTACGCGTGGGGTGGGGCTTCGCCCCTACCCGAAGAATTGTATGCAAGAAACTCTTCACGCAAACCATTTAGATTAGACAACATTTCCTTTTTATTCAATGTTTACGCGATAATCAATGACGTCATTATATTACTGTGTGCACTCTCTGGTTTGAGATTATGTTCTACTCTATGCTAAATGTGACCGCGTCATACTTCGTCTTTCGTTTCACTGTGAGAGTTTTTAATTTCCTTGTGTTTTCTCTAGAGCGTTCTTGTCAGACAGATAGATAGATAGATAGATACATAGACAGACAGCGAAAATATTATTATTGATTACACAGGATTACACAAGGTGGAGAGCAGATAAGGGATCATCCATAGATTACGTCAGGCTTTTTAGCGATTTTTTACCTCCCCATTCCTTCCGTCATACAGAAAGCCACCCCCCTCCCATAAAGGACGTAACACCTTAAATTAGAGGCGCCCATCCCCACCCCCTCAAATTTGCAGATTAATTTATATATTTCTATTAAAATATTAGCTGCGTGTTTTAATCATAAGTTAAAGAAAAGTGTAGAAAAAACAATTCTACATCCAGCTGTATTAACGGAGTATAGGTAAATTTGGTTAGTATTAATTGTGAAAACTTCAAAGCTATTACACGGGCGGGAGTGGGGGGGGGGGGGTGACACCATTTGGCAAAATTGGAAGGAGGTGAACTATTCCACCCCTGCCGGTGCAACTGAATCTGGGAAAATATATTTTTTTACTGTCTGATAAAACGAGATTAAATTTTGTTTACAACACTCAACACAAATGAACATATTTTTGGATTGGTATTATTTAATTTTAAAAAATGCTTTAAATAAAGAAAGGTATGGAATAATGCGATCGGGTGGGAGAGCGCACACCTCTGAAAGTCCTGAGTAAAAACCAAATTAGAATTGCCCCTGAATCTAATGCTTTCCATACTGTAATGTTAGGTTTAGGTGATAAGGATAAGGTTTAGGGTTAGGTTTAATGTAAGGGTTAGTTTTAGTTAGGGGGACGGATTGTGCAACTGTAAGGTGCATAACTAGGGTTTGACCGATATTGTTGCATTTAATATGTGAATTGTTGCTTTCTTTTGAGCAAAATGATTGTAGTCGCCTTTTGTTCCTATGGTTTGAATTGTTATTAGTGTTTAGCGTGCTAGCAGAAAGCTTGTTACATGTGTACCATACTGAGATATGTATATCCTGCCTGTGTAGTTGAATTTATCAATGAGTTTAGCACGTTAAAAACATTGTTCGCTGATTCTGGTGCGAATGTCGGTACATTTTTCATTTAACACCATACTTAATAGTTAGGTAAAATCTGTCACTTTTTATTTAATGTTTCAGTTGATTACAAAAATAGAAATCAAAGATAAATTATTGGTTGCAACAAATCTTATGCCAAAATCAAAGAAAGAGTTGTTAAAGGTTATTTCATTTTAAATTATTTTAAATTAAGCATTGCAAGTTTAAGTTTTATTTTAAAATCGAACTCACTTTTTAATTATTATTTTTTTCCCAGTTAGATTAAAAAAAACTGCATTAAAATCAGAAAATTTAAATTTGATAACTATGTTTTGATGTTATTGGTGATTACAAATGTAAAACTTTTCAATTCAATTCTTAGCATTTTAAGTATGAAAATGTATTAAACTTGTAAGACTAATAAATTACAATTTAGATAGTTTTTCTTGAATACATCTATTCGGTTCGATCACATCCGCCTACCATCTTATCCTTAATCACTTCTCTAGTAAAGTGAGAAAAAAAATATGTGTACGCTCGTTAGGCCTATTGTTATCCTCTGTTTACTTATCCAAGGTAAACAAATGTTCTGTAGGCGCGTGGATTCACTCACCCGTGACGAGGCTACCCACGTCATGGATTATACCTATGTCAGGGGACGTAACAAAAAATCATCCGTTCCACAAGGCTTAATACTTATCTCATTGAAAAGTATTAAAGAAAGCAAATTAGTTTTATTTTCTTTTTTTTTTTCAGTGCATTTAATAGCTTGCTATTTGAAAGGGTTTATTTAATTTGTTTTTGTTTTCTACTTTTTAGTGAGTCCTAATTTATGAAGTCGACACGGCTAAAAAAATTTGCTTTAAACACCATCAGTAGATCGCGATATCTAAAGGACGATTACCTACCCGTGAAAGCAGCTGTTCGTGACTCTTTTTTACAAACGACAGCAAGTTCTTTTTTTTACCTCTCCTTAGTTTCAAAACGTTTAAAATTATATTATCTGCCCCTAATAGCCTTTATTAGATCGATCGGCTCCGCGATTGTTAACATTCGGCGTGAACCACGGCTCACTAGACTGGTTTGTTGATAGCGTCTAGAAATCTAGCTAGTTATCTCACCTTCTGTTATTGTATAAAGTAATCTATTAAGTGATATAATTTTGTTATCTCCCTTTAATTTCCAAATCATTTTAATTAATTTTTAATTACTGATTAAATTAAAAAAAATGGATAGACGTATTGTCATCGAAGTGGAACGTATCTGGAAAGTTTGAGCGAAATCACTAGTGGGTCAAAATTGAGTAACAAGTTTTGCTACAAACCCACAAACTACAAAGAAACAAATAAAGAAACAAACAAACAGACGTTGCAATTACACTTATTAAATGAAATATGTATTCTTTCCTTGTCAAAACTCAACTAAGAATATAAACTGCAGCTAAAGGATTTTTAATATAACAGCACTCAAACCGCTTATTTTAATTAAATTAAAATGATATTTACAGAATCAGGGTTCAAATCAGTTGAATGTCACTGAGTCCGCCCAGCGCTGATGGTTATCTAGCTCACATTAAGGTAACAGTCTCTCAAGCAGATTAATTCTACTTTAGCTTGACCCATGTGCATTGGGCACGAACGAGAAATGATGAAGCTGAATTACAGTAATTAATTAGTAAAAATTAAATTCGTAATTACAAAGACAGCTATATTAATTCTTTAAACGTTTTATTCTGATAAACATTTTAATAAAGAAAAAAAAAATTATCAAGACAATTAAAATTCCATTTTAAAAAAAAAGTAATTTCTTCGTTTATCTCAATAATTATTCCTACTTTTTAAAATCATAATCTAACCTTTTACTTTAAAAAAAAAACAAATAAAAACAAGCATCGCCTTTGTTAAGTTTATTGTTATAGTCACTGGTTGTTTACATAGCAGAGGTAAACAAATGTTGACTCTGGTCCGGTGTATTCACTCACCCGTGACGATTCCACCCACGCAATAATTTACTCCTATTCAAAGGGACGTAACTTGACTCATCTGTTCCATCTTGCGTGACACCTTGAAAGATCAACACTAAACAAATATGTAAACATCAGCCGTGATGAGATAACGAGCGTATTGTCCGGCCGCTGACCAATGGTGAGTGAGGTCTGGAAACTGCAATATAAACCCGCACTGGGCAAAGTTTGGTCATTTCATTTTCGAGTCATTCGTTGATGAGATTTTCTGGTTTATCCTAAATCAAAATTATCTGTCAAAATGTTTGCTGTACCAGATGTATCTGTCAAAATGTCTGCTGTACCAGATGTGTCTGACAAAATGTCTGCTGTACCAGATGAGTCTGACAAAAAGTCTGCTGTATCAGATGTGTCTGACAAAAATTCTGCTGTATCAGATGTGTCTGTCAAAAAGTCTGCTGTATCAGATGTGTCTGTCAAAATGTCTGCGGCATCAGATTTGCTCTACAACCTCGGTCTTCTCAAGATCCGAACCTTGCAGATCAACCGCAGCCAAGTCTACCTGGCCTGTTACCATGGCAACCCGTTTGTGAAGAAGGTGCTGAAGGTGTACGAGAACGAGCCCGAGTCTCTGGAAGTCTTCAAGACGGAGCTCTCCCTCCTGCAGAGGATCCAGCACCCCAACATCATCCCCATCGAGGCCGCCTTCAAGCTGCCCTTCCACAGCGTCATCGTCATGCCGTTCTGCGAGTGGGGCGCCCTGACCAACGTCGTGGGCAGGATCGACCTCAGCCACTTCGACCACTACTTCCTGCAGCTGTGCAGCGCCATCAAGTACCTGCACGGCCAGGGCATCGCCCACAGGGACATCAAGCTGGACAACATCCTGCTGGACGCCTTCCAGCGCGTCTACATCACGGACTTTGACCTGTCCTGTACTGTCGAGCCTGAGAACCCCACTGTCCATTACAAGGGGGGAACATTTCCTTACATGGCGCCTGAGATGTTGGCTGAGCCTGATGGATCTTACGATGGATTTAAGGTTCGTCTTATTTATTCATTTTAGAATTTTAGAATTTATTATCATAAATGGTAAATTTTCAATATTTATTTCCTTAACTACCGGAAACACCAATTAATAATAATACATGTAGAATGCGTCTTTCTAGTCAGTGCCCTAACTAGTTCTCTTCTCTATCTCCTACAGATCGACATGTTCGCCTTTGGTGTCGTCAACTACGCCATGTTGTTTCAACAAGTCATCATCGAGCCCGAGGACTACCTGGAGGAGACCCGGGCGTTCCCCTGGCCTGAGCCCATGTTGTTTCACAAGGCCATCCTGGAGAACTTGCTGCTGCCCGACCCTGGGGCGAGGTGGGGAATCCTGACGTTGATAGAAAACCTTAGCACTGTCCCCTCGTTGGCTGAGAGAGCCAAATTCCTGTAACCTTTCCTTTTTTTTTTTTTTTGGCTTCTAGGTATTTCTGTTTTACTAATGCATGGTATGATTATTTTTATTATTTTATTATTTGTTCCTAATAATTTAAGTAGTTTAACCCATTTAAACACGTTAACTTGACCATACAAACCTAACTATATTTTAACAAAAGCTTTCCTCCTGTTAAAGTCTAACCACAACTCAGCTGATTATTTCATTAATTTATTACATCTTTGAAAGCAGTGTGCAACTCCTCTATTAAAATTGCTAACAAACGATAACACAGTAATCAAAACACTAACTCACCAACCAAAACACTAAAACACTAACCGAAACACTAACACACTACCACACTAACTCACTAACTAACAAAAACACTATCACGCTAACCAAAGCGCGAACACAACACGCCAATCAAAGCACGTATACATTAACCAAAGCACCAACACACTAACCGAAGTATTAAAACACTAACCGAAGAACTAAAACACTAGCTGAAGCACTAACACACTAACACGCTAACCAAAGCACGAATACACTAACCATAGCGCTAACACACTAATCAAAACACATACTAACTAAAACCCTAACACACTAACCAAAGCACTAAGACACTAACAAAGTGCTAACACACTAACTGAAACCCTAACATGCTAACCAAAATCCCTAACACAATAACCTATGGCTCTGGTCCAGGCTGACCAACCATCTTTAATCAGGCCACATCAGTACCATGTGACGGTCCCAAGCCCGTGTAAACTGAGAGGGAAGATGGTTAGGATCCACTTTGCCGAATTACTTCATTACATTTATATATGTAATATGCAGATCATCTAAAATAATTCTTTGAGATCAAATCATATACGAGGTAAACTACAGAGCTTCAAAATAATTTATTTCAATCTCAATGTGTTGATATAAAATAGACAACAAGTGTTAAATTAATAATAGCATCATCAGCAAATATGTAATGTTGTTGTTGTTCATGTGTAGGAGGCAAGGGAGATCATTCTGCAGATTCTTTATACACGGGTTATCGTTCTTATTTTAAAGTGAGTATGTATTTGGCACCATTTAATAATGTCAAAAGACATGGGACATCATTAAATCCGAAACCAACGTATTATTCATTTACATCCTTATATTATAGAAGCGTTTTAATCTTATTACACGCTTTATGGCACAATAAGACTATCACATTCCCCATCAAATCACAACACAGATAAACCAATAGATTTAAGCGACACAGTAGATATATTCCACGTGCTTATAAACTTGAGAGCAAAGCAACCTCGCTACTGAAATCAAAAAGTCACAAAAGTAGCCAGCCCGACTTGTTGGTTAACATAAAAGATTACACAGGATTACACAAGGTGGAGAGCAGATAAGGGTTCATCCATAAATTACGTCAGGCTTTTTAGCGACTTTTACCTCCCCATTCCTTCCGTCATACAGAAAGCCAACCCCCCCCCCCTCCCATAAAGGACATAACACCTTAAATTAGAGGCGCTCACCCCCACCCCCTTCAAATTTGCAGATTAATTTATCTATTTCTATTAAAATATTAGCTGCGTATTTTAATCATAAGCTAAAGAAAAGTGTAGAAAAAACAATACTACATACAGCTGTATTAACGGAGTATAGGTAAATTTGGTTAGTATTAATTGTGAAAACTTCAAAGCTATTACACGGCGGGAAGGGGGTGAAACCAACAGCAAAATTTATAAGTGGATTAGAATAATGTGCGCACAAATTGACACCATTTGGCAAAATTGGAGGGAGGTGAACTATTCCACCACTGCCGGAGCAACTGAATCTGGGAAAAGATATTTTTATTGTCTGATAAAACGAGATTAAATTTTGTTTACTACACTCAACACAAATGAACAAGTCTTCAGCAGTAGTGAAAAGATGAAACGATGTGATATCTACTTAGGTTTTTTTATACTTTATCAACTCTAGTTCAACTGCCCTAAAAGAACGTTTTAATTTAAAAGAGAGATTTACATCCTTTTGTGTTCACTGTTGTTGAATTGTCTTACATTAATTCCGTGTTATACTGTTTTACAATATGTTGCTACCTTTCTATATTTATGTAAATTATACAAGGCAAAAGTTATAGAAATGCGTAGAAAATTTTTAATCGCTGTAAAGATGATATCTTGAAACTATCGGGAAAACTTGAGATCGGCTTTTACATCAACGCTGAGCCAACAAAATTCAGTCTGCGCCCACAGCATGATAAATCCAATGCATTTATAAAAACTTTAATTGACAGTATTCCAATTTCCCATATGCACACATAGTATCCTTGAGGTACCTAGAGGTAGATTCAGGTAAAAGTCGAAAGGCTAAAGGTTAGCACTTCCTTAAAAACCTATGTGAGATTAAGAAGTATGACTATTATCTTATAGACCTATAAAAGTAAAGTGCGATATATCTGTTTCTCACACCCGAATTAAATCGAGTATTTGCGGAAAGATTTAGATGTATTGTTCTTGACAAAAAGCAATATGCAACCTCAACCTAACAAGAAAACCATAGCGATTTCAATAATCGAATATAAAGTGACAGAAAAATTACCTAGACTGACCATGTAGCGATAATTTAGGGTGACATTGTTTTGTTTTGTGGGTCCCCGATTGGGCAGGGTCCAAACCCCCTAATAACTCATGTATACGTATCTCTCTCTCTCTCTCATTCTCTCTCTCTCTCTTTCTCTCCTCTCTCTCTCTCTCTCTCTCTCTCTCTCTCTCTCTCTCTCTCTCTCTCTCTCTCTCTCTCTTGCTTTCTTTTTAGCAAATTCATTGTAGTCGCCTTTTGTTCCTATGGTTTAAATTATTATTAGTGTTTAGCGTGCTAACAAAAAGTTTATTACATTTGTACCATACTGAGCTATAATTATTCTGCCAGTGTAGTTGAATTTATTGATGAGTTTAGCACGTTAAAAAAATTGTTCCGCTGATTCTGGTGCGAATTTCGGTACATTTTTCATTTAACACCATACTTAATAGATAGGTAAAAACTGTCACTTCTTATCTATCTAATGTGTCAGTTGATTACAAAAATAGAAATCAAAGATAAATTATTGGTTGCAACAAATCTTATGCCAAAATCAAAGAAAGGGTTGTTAAAGGTTATTTCATTTTAAATTATTGTAAATTAAGCATTGCAAGTTTAATTTTAAAATGGACTCACTTTTTAGTTATTATTTTTTTCCCAGTTAGATAAAAAAAATGCATTAAAATCATAAAATGCAAAATTTGATAACTATGTTTTGATGTTATTGGTGATTACAAAAGTAAAACTTCTCAATTCAATTATTACCCTTTTTAAGTATGAAAATATATTAAACTATTCAGACTAATAAATTACAATTTAGATAGTTTTTCTTGAATACATCTATTCGGTTCGATCACATCCGCCTACCATCTCATCCTTAATCACTTCTCTAGTAAAGTATGAAAAAAAATATGTGTACGCTCGTTAGGCCTATTGTTATCCTCTGTTTACTTATCCAAGGTAAACAAATCTTCTGTGGTCGCGTGGATTCACTCACCCGTGACGAGGCTAACCACGTCATGGATTATACCTATGTCAGGGGACGTAAAAAAAAATCATCCGTTCCACAAGGCTTAATACTTATCTCATTGAAAAGTATTAAAGAAAGCAAATTAGTTTTATTTCTTTTTTTTTCAGTGCATTTAATAGCTTGATATTTGAAAGGGTTTATTTAATTTGTTTTTGTTTTCTACTTTTTAGTGAGTCCTAATTTATGAAGTCGACACGGCTAAAAATATTTGCTTTAAACACCATCAGTAGATCGAGATATCTAAAGGACGATTATCTGCCCGTGACTATTTTTTTACAAACGACAGCACGTTCTTTTTTTTTTACCTCCCCTTAGTTTCAAAACGTTTAAAACTGTATTATCTGCCCCTAATAGCCTTTATTAGAGCGATCGCCTCCGCGATTGTTAACATTCGGCGTGAACCACGGCTCACTAGACTGGCCTGTTGATAGCGTATAGAAATCTAGCTAGTTATCTCACCTTCTGTTATTGTATAACGTAATCTATTGAGTGATGAAAATTGTGTTATCTCCCTTTAATTTCCAAATCATTAAATTAATTTTTAATCACTGATTAAATTAAAAAATTGGATAGACGTATTGTCATCGAAGTGGAGCGTATCTGGAAAATTTGAGCGAAATCGCAAGTGGGTCAAAATTGAGTTACAAGATTTGCTACAAACCCACAAACTACAAAGAAACAAAGAAATAAGCAAAAAGACGTTGCGAACTAAATAAAAACTTGTAAAAAAAATAAAACCTCAAATCCCCAAGTAGATTACACATATTAAAAGAAATATGTATATGTATTCTTTCTTTGTCAAAACTAAACTAAGAATATAAACTGCAGCTAAAGGATTTTTTAATATAACAGCGCTCAAACCGAGGGGGGGGGAGGGGGACCTGCAATTAAAATGATATTTACAGAATCAGGGTTCAAATCAGTTGAGTGTCACTGAGTCTGCCTAGCTCTGATGGTTATCTAGCTCACGTTAAGGAAACAGTCTCTCAAGTAGATTAATTCTACTTCAGCTTCACCCATTTGCATTGGGCATGAACGAGAAATGATGAAGATGAATTACAGTAATTAGTAAAAATTAAATTCGTAATTACAAAGACAGCTATATTAATTCTTTAAACATTTTAGTCTGTTAAAATATTTTGATGCAGAAAAAAAAATTATAAAGACAATTAAAATTCCATTTTTAAAAAAAAATTTAATTTCTTCGTTCATCTCAATAATAATTCCAACATTTTTAAAATCATAATCTAACCTTTTACTTTAAAAAAAAAATAAAAATAAAAACAAACAGCGCCTTCGTTAAGTTTATTGTTATAGTCACCTGTTGTTTACATAGCAGAGGTAAACAAATGTTGACTCTGGTCCGGTGTATTCACTCACCCGTGACGATTCCACCCACGCATTAAGTTACTCCTATTCAAAGGGACGCGTCTTGACTCATCTGTTGCACCTTGCGTGACACCCTGAAAGATAAACACTAAACAAATATGTAAACATCAGCCGTGATGACATAACGAGCGTATTGTCCGGCCGCTGACCAATAGGGATGAGGTCTGGAAACTACAATATAAGCCCGCACTAGGCATAGTCCGGTCATTTCATTTTCGAGTCATTCGTTGATGAGATTTTCTGGTTTATTCCAAAATCAAAATTATCTGTCAAAATGTCTGCTGTACCAGATGTGTCTGTCAAAATGTCTGCTGTACCAGATGTGTCTGTCAAAATGTCTGCGGCATCAGATGTGTCTGTCAAAATGACTGCAGTACCAGATGTGTCTGTCAAAATGTCTGCTGCATCAGATTTGCTCTACAACCTCGGTCTTCTCAAGATCCGAACCTTGCAGATCAACCGCAGCCAAGTCTACCTGGCCTGTTACCATGGCAACCCGTTTGTGAAGAAGGTGCTGAAGGTGTACGAGAACGAGCCCGAGTCTCTGGAAGTCTTCAAGACGGAGCTGTCCCTCCTGCAGAGGATCCAGCACCCCAACATCATCCCCATCGAGGCCGCCTTCAAGCTGCCCTTCCACAGCGTCATCGTCATGCCGTTCTGCGAGTGGGGCGCCCTGACCAACGTCGTGGGCAGGATCGACCTCAGCCACTTCGACCACTACTTCCTGCAGCTGTGCAGCGCCATCAAGTACCTGCACGGCCAGGGCATCGCCCACAGGGACATCAAGCTGGACAACATCCTGCTGGACGCCTTCCAGCGCGTCTACATCACGGACTTTGACCTGTCCTGTACTGTCGAGCCTGAGAACCCCACTGTCCATTACAAGGGGGGAACCTTTCCCTACATGGCGCCTGAGATGTTGGCTGAGCCTGATGGATCTTACGATGGATTTAAGGTTCGTCTTAATTATTCATTTTAGAATTTTAGAATTTATTATCATATTATGGTAAATTTTCAATATTTATTTCCTTAACTACCGTAAACACCAATAATAATAATACATGTAGAATGCGTCTTTCTAGTCAGTGCCCTAACTAGTTCTCTTCTTTCTCTCCTACAGATCGACATGTTCGCCTTTGGTGTCGTCAACTACGCCATGTTGTTTCAACAAGTCATCATCGAGCCCGAGGACTACCTGGAGGAGACCCGAGCCTTCCCCTGGCCTGAGCCCATGTTGTTTCACAAGGCCATCCTGGAGAACTTGCTGCTGCCCGACCCTGGGGCGAGGTGGGGAATCCTGACGTTGATAGAAAACCTTAGCACTGTCCCCTCTTTGGCTGAGAGAGCCAAATTCCTGTAACCTTTTTCTTTTTTTTTTTTTTTTTTCGGCTTCTAGGAATTTCTGTTTTACTAATGCATGCTATGATTATTTTTTTATTTTTTATTATTTGCTATTCATTTATTCACTTAATTTATTTAAATTAACCCACTAACTTGACCATACAACTTTAACTATATTTTTACAAGAGCTTTTCTCCCCTTAGAGTCTAACCACATCTGATTATATAAATACTTTACTACATCTTTGAAAGCAGCGTACTCCTTTATTAAATTGCTAACACTAACCAAAGCACTAACACACTAACCGAAGCACTATCACTTACCAAAACACTAAAACACTAACCGAAACACTAAAACAATAACTGAAACAATAACCGAAGCATCAACACACTACCACACTAACTCACTAATACTCTAACCAAAGCACGAATACACTAACCAAAGCCCTTACTAACTGCTACACTAACCAAACATACAAACCAAATTACTAACACGCTAATCAAAGCATGAATACACTAACCAAAGCACTAACACACTAACCAAAGCACTAACACACTAACCAAAGCACTAACTAAAAACCTAACACACTAACCAAAGCACTAACACACTAACTAAAACCCTGACACACTAACATATGGCTCTGGTCCAGGCTGACCAACCATCTTTAATCAGGCCACATCAGTAACATGTGACGGTCCCAAGCCCGTGTAAACTGAGAGGGAAGATGGTTAGGATCCACTTTGCCGAATTATTCCATTAAATTATATATGTAAAATGCATCTTAAATAATTCTTAAAGATCAAATCATATACAAGGTAAACTACATGGTTCAAAATAATTTATTTCAATCTCAATGTGTTGATATAAAATAGACAACAAGTGTTAAATTAGTAATAGCATTATCAGCAAATATGTAATGTTGTTCATGTGTAGGTGGCAAGGGAGATGATTCTGTAGATTCTTTATACACGGGTTATCGTTCTTATTTTAAAGTGAGTATGTATTAGGCACCCTTTAATAATTTCAAAAGACATGGGACATCATTAAATCCGAAACCCATCCTATTATTCATTTGTATCCTTAAATTATTAGAAGCGTTTTAATCTTATTACACGCTTTATGACACAATAAGACTACCCCTTCCCCCATCAAATCACAACACAGATAAACTAGTATTTTAAAATAAGATGACACAGTAGATATATTCCACGTGCTTATAAACTTGAGAACAAAGAAACGTCGCTACTAAAAACAAAAGTTCACAAAAGTAGCCAGCCCGACTTGTTGGTTAACATAAAAGATTACACATGATTATATAAGGTGGAAAGCAGATAAGGGATCATCCATAAATTACGTCAGGCTCTTTGACGATCTTTACCTCCCCGTTTCTTCCAACACACAGAAAGCCAAACCCTCCCCCCCCCCCAACCCCTCCCTAAACGGACGTCACACCTCGGAAAAAAGCCCCCTTCCCCCCCCCCCCCCCACACACACACACCCCTTTATACAAACTTCGATAAGCCAATTAGTTAGATATTTGACAATTTTGTTCTTTGCCAAGCGCTTAATTAGTTTATATTATTTTAATAGACTTTTTATTATTAAAATTATAAAGGCCTACCTTCAGTTCTTCCACTGGAGTATAAACGAGGTATCCGGATGCGATCAAACGTTGTATTGCATATAGGGGAGGGAACAAATAAAGTCTTTGTAATAAAACTTACCACTTTAAGTTGTTTCCCTTACATCAGTTTTCATCTATCTCTGAATATGATAGGGTCGTAACATCGAACAATTGTAGTCGTTAAATCCACCGCTGTTTTCATCACACGTGACAGTATTTGTGTTTAGCATCCCTCAGTTGAGGGGTTGGGGAGGGTAGAGCCCGTAGCACATCCACCAACCCACCCCATAAATGCCCCTCCAGGACAAAATATAAAATTTAAAAAGAAAATACGAACGAAATGGAATTTATATAGAAAATTTATATAGAAAATATACACGTTTAAGAGTGTCCGCCCCCGCCCCCCCCCCCCCCCCCGCCCGAAAATGTTAGTGTCCCGTCTCCCCGAAAATTTCAAGTGCCCCCCCCCCCCCCCCCCCCGGAGAAAAAAGTCTGGAAGAAGAAACACTGAACTCGATGTTTTGAATTTAACCCCTCCCCAAAACAGACTCAGCGTCACCAAACACAATGCTACCGAATTAGTAAAATGACGTCACGAAGTTCCACCCTACACCTCACCCATAATGGTACAGGAAATCGTACCCCCACCCTGCACCACACCAAGAGCAACATCCGAACCAAATCCCACACTAACTTGCCCCCACACCCCATCCCGAACCACGCTAACCACACCCCGCTCCAGGTACGACGCACCTCAAAGAATACGTACAATATACATTAAAACTCACGACCCACTGTATCGCATGCAGCACAAACCCCACGCCAATCACCCATCCATCAATCTTCATTCCATTCACCCATACGCATAAGCCACTCGAGATCAAGGCGTGGGTCAAACCCTTCACCACATCAACCCACACAACACTCCGCACTACAACATTAACCAAACCCAGAACTAAACCCAACGCCACCCCACCCATACCGAACCCCAAATCCACACTACCCCCACACCGCAATTAATACTATATATGATCCCACAACATCCACTACACATCAAAACCCACAACCCCAAACAACACACCTCACCTTACCACCCCCACCTTGCACAACATGACCTTAACCTCCACGATCCAAACCCAATCACGGATAGGCCCTACCACAAGATACACCCCAGTCAACCACACATATACACCTAAACACACATGGCGTAGACTACCCCCCAATCCCCCTCCACCCTAACAGACATACTACCACACTTGTTTCAAATTTTATGCTTTGCCTAGGCTTTTAACAGATGGGAACCCGAAATTTGTAAAAGAACCGTAATCCCTCCAGAAAATATTGCGTTTTCTTTGTAACAACCATTAGCTGCAGACAATGCAGCCAGTGTTTCTTCCAGACTTTTTTCTCCGGGGGGGCACTTGAAATTTTCGGGGGGGCGGTAGACTTTCTTCGGGGGGGCGGACACTGTTAAAAGTATATATTTTCTATATAAATTATATAAATTTCATTTCGTTCGGGGGGGCGGTAGAAATTTTTCGGGGGGGCTTCGCCCCCCCGAAGAGATGCCTGGAAGAAACTCTGAATGCAGCTCTAAATAAAATGTGAACTCTTGTTAATGAGTACTTTCAATAAATAGGTACAACATTTCAGGGTTTTTTTTAAAAAAGGCTAGCGCTCTCCCATTCCTCCCCTCTTTTCACCTTAGCAGCAAGGAAGTCAGAAAGTAAACAATGGTGTTCTCCCCTATTCTCCCACAATCCAATGAAGCGGAATAAAACAAACTATGGCGGCGGATTTGGTAGCCGTTGAGGCATGTTTTGTTTTCTGATCGCGTAGATTGCTTAAAGAATTTTCTGAGTTTTTGGGTAATGCTGTGAATTTAATAAATATCGTCATTTCTATTAGGCAGAATATTTATGTTATTTTAAGTCTCCACAATGCCATACATTAACACATTACTCTACAGAATACTAAACTTAAAACTAAACTTGACAGACAGATCAGTGACTGGAGTCTCAGGTCTCAGTCTTCTCACTCAGACTCATTCATCGAGGAATCTGTCTAACTCTTTCTTTAACTCTTCTGACATTTCCGTGTGACTAGACTAGTCTCTAGATCAAGTCTACCATATTAGTACCAACAGTACTGTTACAGGAGATCTAGATCTAGAAGAATTAGCAGCGAGGAGTGTTGGTTTGTTGTTGGTGTACTCAAGTGTACTGTACTGTTGTCGTGTCAGTGACAGTGTCACCTACTCGTCCTACTGAGCTACTCACACTGACAGTACACACACAGTCAGTAGGTGTCTTGTCTTCTAGTGGGTCTGCCTAGTACACACTGCTTTTTTTAATATGTACCTGCATAGTATAGAAATTTCTATGCCTAACAGTGTTAGGCTAACACTACACAAAGAAGGCAGAAGGGGGTAGATCTAGGTCTAGCTGAAGTAGATCTAGATCTATAGATAGTTTATGCCATTAGTTTTGTGTACTGTCTGTATTTTAAACTTTAAACATATGGCATGTGTCGTCATTGTTTATTGCATTCTTTTCACAACTATAAACGCTTTTATGGTTGCATTATTGAAATTGTGTTTCTACATTTGAATTTGCCTAGGACTATATTTTTATTTTCCTTCTTTAAATAAAATTTAGTTTATACATTTAGGCCTATAACTGGGCTATAATGGCTATAACATTCACCATATTATTTTATATAGAGAACTTGATACAGACTTTTGTTGAAAATAATATGGTAGATGTTTTAAATGTATAAACAAAATTTTATTTAAAGAAGAAAGATAAAAAATAAAGGCATATTCGAATATAGAAAAACTGTTTTAATTATGCAACCGGAAAAGTATTTAAAGTTGGGACAAGAACGCAGAAATCGATGACGTCACATGTCATCTGTTTAAAATACGGAAAGTACACAAAACCAATGGCGTCATCTTCCAAGTTTAGAATACAAAGAAATAAACTAGGCCTATTTCATTAAAATTTGATTTAGATCTATAGATTTACTTAACGAGACGTAATTTATGAAATGTATACAATTTCCTCGGCCAAAACTAATACAAATTATTTTAAAAACAACATAAATACCATTGGAAAGCTGGGTTTTTAAGGGAGTCATTTTAGTCTTTTAATCAATGTGTGCATTTAATATGGTGTTGTGTTGACTAATTATGTAAATAATTTGGTTTTATTTTTTCTAATAGGTATTAGTAGCCTATATTATTTTAAATGTGTCTGACATTTAGCTATTTAGTTATCTCTTTGCTTTCTCACTAATATCGTTAAACCGGTTTTGACCCATAACTATTTTATAAAATATTCCTCTAAAATATGTATACCATTAAAAATATGTAGACCGATAATTCATGTGTAACGGGTACCAACGGCTAGTAATTAGTATTAGCCATATAGTCCTATTTGAGTAGGTCTATCATCCATGACTTTGGAGCATGAGTCTAGTACATTTTTATAAATCTTTAAAGTTTTGTTACTGGATGTGCAGCAAAAGCCTGTTGCACAAAGTGACAGTGATTGGTGCTAGGTATTGTAGTTTAAAATGAAGCCTTGGTATAATTTTTGTGGAATCATTTCATGCCAAAAAGAAATATAAAACTAGATAGTTTTTGCAAGTACTAACAGAAATTATAACCCTAATAAGTCGATAGAGCATCCCTGAGTCCACCCATCTTTGATGGGTACCTAACTCACTTTAGGGAAAAAGAGGCAGCTAGCAATAGTGTCGACCACTTTATGCCATAGTTCATTGAAACAGATGAACTCAACTTCATGAGCCCCATATGTCAAGGGCACTTTCAGGAAAAGATGATGAGAACCCAGATAAAGCACTATTAACCATATGGCCAATTTGAATATTGATTATGGCCCTGACACTGACATACTATACACCAATATAAAACATTTATTATTACAAGCTTTTTTGAATTTGTGCTAAAAAATGGGAAAATAAAATTATTTCCTTTGTATATTTTTAAATGGTTGTGCTTTATTATATATTTAAAGAAATTTATTTTATTTTCCTCTTTTTAGTGCTAATACAATAGCTTGTTATTATAAATGTTATTTATTTTTTAAATGTAGGCTAAGCTAAATAAAAAAAAATTAAAATTTTTAATTGAATGGCTAAAAGAACTTGCACACCAATTATAGTAATACACAGCAAATAGTATATGATAGTGGAAATATAAATTAGCACTTTTACATAGAAATTTTTAATTTTTAAATATTTATTCAACATCTAATTATTTCAAAGTTTATGTCATATTGAATGGTCATCTGGTCTTAAGACAAATGTTTTAATTTTTATTTTTACTTTCTATTATACAGAGTATAGGGGGTAGTATTGTAATTGTGCAAAAGATAAGAATTTAAACAGTTATTTTACTCGTTAAGAAGTAGGTAACCCACTTTTTCTTTTGTCTTTATGTTTTTTAAAGCGTAATTCCACTTGAAGTGATCCCAACCCTTACTGTTTATAGGATCACACTATTATTTAACCCTGGCATATTACAAGGTCTACCCCTTGGGGTTGTATATGTCATCTCTTAGATAATTTATTACATTAAAAACAAGAAATTTTTGCTAGTAATCACATTTGATAATGCTTTTCTCTGTTGGCTAAGAAATGGTTGGTTTTTGCAATAGAGAAATACAAAATTAGCCCAAATTGGTAAAGCTAGATGTGCCATTTACTTATCAAATACTGGCAGCTGTATGCTAATCAAATGGACAAAGCATCTCTATAATTTATTAACAAGTCTTTATCCACCCCCTAATATATTTAAGTACTAATACTTTATTGGGCACCAATCCCTTATTCAAGTTATTGCTGAGTATTGAGTCACAGTAGTGTAAGTGTTATAGATTATTGATTGAGACTATGTTTATGTAGGCCTCAATTTGCTTTTTGATGATCAATGACACCATGGTAAGAAGAACTTAAGTAATAGCCATTTTCCACTTCCAATCTCTGTTGTTGTGTAGCTGTCTCGGCTAAGCCAGACTTGTAACTTGAAACAGTTTCAAAGGGAAATGTATTAATTCAATGTTTTTTTTTTTTTGGGGGGGGGGGGGGATTTGATTGCTAGATCTGAAACTTAAAAATGGAACAGCTGCTGCCTTGCTGTTGCAGATTGTTCTTGGGTGAACAAAGGCTTTGAAAGTGCCTGGGGGTTTAGTTAGTTGAACAGTGTACAACTCAATACTACTAAAATTAAGTGTAGATTATGTTAGCTCTATCTTTTATATGGGCAGAATTCTTTTAAATTAAAAAAAAAAACCCAGTCATTCTCGTGTTATTCTAGTTGAGATCATGATAAACAATATGCCTGGTGTTAATGATCACATTTTCTTGTGTATTTTCAGCCCCTATTTTTGCTACTAATAGCTACCAATTTAATAAATCTTAATCAACTTAAATAGAAGTCAAATAAGCTTTCTTGATATTAATTTTATCCTTTCATGAATATCCTACATTGCAAGTCAAATTTTCTTTTTAAAAAATTAATTTCTGCATTTCACCATACACCATTTTATTTTTATTCTCATGAAAATAAATTTCCTTTTTTATGTATCTGCAACAAATAGAAAACCATATATTATTAGTGCCAAACCAGTGGACATTCAAACAAGTTTTATAAATTTTTAATATTAATGAAAATAAACCGGGAGTGATCTCCCCTAAACTTTCTCGAATATTCTAATATAACACTACGGGGGGTGGCAACTCGGGATATAGACTTCTAGACATGATTTTTAATCCATTTTAAATACTCAAATTTTTTAAGATAGAATATAATCTCGTAGGAAAAATAAATACACACCAACTGAACGCTAAATAAAGATAAGGCATAATAGTGCGCAATATTATTAGTACTTTATAAATTTACATGCTTTTTTTGAGAAATCGGAAATAGCGTAAATAAGTACATCCGGTCAACGGAAATTACTCAAAATTTGACAGAAGGTAGAGAATTAGATCTTTTACTCACATGTGAAACTTCATTTATCTATCTGAAATAGTACTCAAGTTATAGGCTTTTGAAAAATTTAAAGTAGAAAAAGTACCACTTCCGATTATCGGAAATCGCTCAAAAGTTGATACGGATCTACGATTTTGATAAAATACTTATATGTGAAATTTCATCAACCTAGCTGTAACGGTACTCAAGTTATCGTGTTTACACACGGACACACACACACAGACAGACACACAGACATACGGACAAGATTGCAAAATTATGTTTTTCCGTATCAGTGAGATGTAAAACGTCGAGATTTGATTTTTTTTTTTTTTTTTGCACGATTACAAGACTTTCTCTATACTTCGTATATACGAGAAAGTAAAAAAATGTTAATATTCTGTTTTAAAATAGAAATTTTTGTTTTAAGTTTGTATTAGCATAACATTTCATTCTTAACTTTTGATTTTATTTTCAGATAAAACTCAAGTTTTCCCATGCTGGATCCTATGCTTATGATTGAATGTTGTTATAATGAATCCAAATAGACGAAGCAGGGACCCACCTTCAGGACAAGATCAAGAAAACGCGCCTGACCAAGGTAGAGTTTGACTATTTCTGTATTATTATATTTTCTACTCTGGAGAATGGTGATTGTATGCTCGAGTGCACTTTTGCTGTAATCCAGTCTCTGGTCTCTCAACTTATCTTTTGAGAACCCTTGAGCCTACATCACTCTAAAAATACTGATTTAAATCTGGGAACATTCAGAAAGGCAGCTGGGAATTGTTCATTATGCACATCTTTGCCATCATCACTAATTAGATGCACTCTTAGTTCATCTACCCATCTGGACCATTAAATCAGAAATGGCTGTGTATTAATAGGCTGGTTAAAAAAGAATTGAAATGGATTCTCCCCATACTTTTAATTGATAAATTGATAACTGGACATTTTTAATTTTTGCTGTCAAAATTATATGACACATTGAGTACAAATAATACTTAGCTTGATTAATAACCAATCTTTAAAAATCGTTCCAGTTTTCTAATCCTCAAATAATATTCTTTTTTTAAAGTTGATTCTTAGTTTTAATTAGATGATGGTTCTAAAAGCTAAATGGTGGAGTAAAAGCTTTACAGGCTTTATGACTAATCTACAGTTAAAATGTATCAATGACTGGTGATTTTAGACATCTAATCATTATCCCGTAGAAAGAAGAAAATCAAAAGTATCCTTGCGCCTTGTGGTAAAGATTTGCATCCCACCATTAGCATTAACAGTACTAGAACCCAGAGGCGTAGCGAGGGGGAGGTGCGGGAGTGCGGACCGCACCGGGTGACACCATTTAGGGGGTGACACCAAGGCAAAAAATAGCAAAATATATAGAGAAAAATGATAACTCCATTTAATTAAGTGATTAATTCGAGTGTTAAATAGTCTTTTAAGAGGTGGAATTCGAAAGTTTAAAGTTTGTCCCCGTGAAGGGTCGCTACGCCTCTGGGGGGTGACACCATTAAGTGCCGCACTGGGTGACACCTGACCTCGCTACGCCACTGCGAGAACCCCACTCCACCACCCCCTCCCAAGTTTTCCCCATAATGCTTGATTCAATTACTGCCAAACAAGGTGCTTAATGAGATTAGGGAGACTCTTTCTCTTCCCCCCCCCCCCCAAATCTCAAAACCTTAGTATTGAATTAATGCCTAATCTTAACAGAGCGGAATGCTCTCGTTTACAGCTAAAGCAGGAATCCCATTCAACTAAATAATTGGTGAATAGATTTATTTTCACTTTTGAATTTATTTTCGGGTTGTTGTTTTATTTATACTTGTGAATACGCATTTTTTAACTGATGTTTTATATAAATAAAATGTTTTAAGAATGCCAAAATTTTTGGCACCGGTGTAAAATAAGATAACCAGGTTGAGCTAACAACATTTGGTACGTTGCCTATCACACTGGGAGTAATTGGTTGCGGTAACCATCGGGGGTCCTTGGGTAACGTGCCCCAGTCTGACATGCTTGGCAGATGTAGTGTTGCCGGTACCATTGGTTTCTGTGTGCTGCAGAAAGCCAAAGGGAGAAAATTTGAATCAGTGAATATTCAGATAGATACGGGCTGCCTCCTCCGGTATTAATGAATGGCCACTATAAATAGCGAGGATGAATTTCCGATAGCTGGAAATATCGTATTGTGTGAAGTGAGTACAAATATTGTAGATGTTAGCGCAAACACTTAGAGGCTAGCTATTGAATATCGCCGTAATGGGAAATACCGTCATTAACTGATCTGCGTTGTTACTGTGTGACATTGTTGTATAGTTATAGCTGTGTGTCACACCGTATGATTCATGTTGGAGATACACTTTCATGAGGTGTTTAGTTGTTTCTTATGCACCCTTACTCTATATCAGTGGTTCGATCGAACCCCTGGGGTTCGGTGAGCCAGTCTTAAGGGTTCGACGGAGGTCAAGCCACATACCCGACTCATGTGATTCACAATAGGATTTTGTCAGTGCAGACGATAGAACTGTTAAAAAGGGTTCGGTGAAAACGCAGATGAAACAGTGTGGTCCCGTTAGAAACGTGAAGGACCACTTCTCTAAATGATGTGTAAAAAAGTTAAAGCCCTTACATATTTTATTGCTCTAACTCTAACCCGACCTAAAACAAAGCCGTAACTGATAACCTGAACTTATTGAGCATGTCATTGAAGTTTCAGTGACTATATCATTCAAGTGGATAGTGTGGAATATAGTATGGAAAGCAGCCTTTAATTTCCCTGAATGAATGGAGGTATGAAGTTAACTCACGGGAGGCTTGTTTATTGCCAGCCGATGATATGTGCACCACTGCAGGTTGGTCCCACATCAAACTTATTGGAACTTGGTGAATACAATTTGTACTGGTGATATTATAAACCTCACAATTTGACGTGATTGGACGAGTGTATGCTCACCACAATCAACCCAATCGATATTCCGTAAATGTAATACCTGCTTGTGACCTGACCCAGTCTCCGTTCAGGAATTTTAATACTGTTTGCCACAGCTTATGCTGGCCAGGGTTGCGTTAATAAGGGCTGTTTATAGCCAAGGAATAGAGCTCTATTTTTACTCCGGCACCACGGCGTGAGCTCTCGTCTTTGATTGAGTTAGCCAATGCTGGTGGCAGCGTCCTGCCTGGCCTGCTCTGTGACGGTAAGGAAATGTCGATACGGCCCGTATAGTTGCCGGTGTGGCGTTCTTCGCTAAACTAAACTAGTGCTAGGTTGCATGGACATTTTTTATCCCATTGAATTGAGTGGTGGATTTCTTTAAAAGGAGGTAAATATGTGTGTTATAAATCTCAAGATTGAGTTCATTCCTTCGATTGTTTTACTTGTATGGACCGATTCTTCTAGCGGACGCTAGATCACGTGGTTTTATTTCTGTACAACTGGATTTAATGTGTGCTTCACCTTGTGGTTCCGTGTATGGGGGCAGGTTTACATGTGGTGCTGGTTAATAGAACAGGTGGTGCTTGTTTAACGTAGGTTCAAAATGATACGTTTGATGTCCGTTTTCTTTTTTTTTAAAGGAGAATCTTTATGTTGCATTAGGTGTAGCATTTTAATAATTTTTCTTCTGTTTTATCAAGTTTAGCTTTACTTTAAATTGGATTGTATTTTGTTTTAACTGTCTTGTATGCTATTATCGTTCATAATCATATAACCGTTAGTTTATATAGTCTTTCTTTAAGGGTAGTATTTAATCAAAGTAATATGTACATTGTTTGGTTTTATTATGGGTAATATTGTATCTGTTGGTTCATTTATGTTCTTGAAGTGTCAAACTTACATTGTAAAACTGTTTGTAATGGCTACAGGACATTACCCCCCCTGTCAATTACCCCCCCTGGGGAATTAACCCCCCCCCCCCCCCATCCACCAAGATAGAATCCTGATTCTAACTCCAACTCTATACCTTAATCCTAACCCTAAGACAAAGATGAAAAACCTAAGAATTCACCTCACCCTAAAAGCCAACTCTAAACATTGATTTAAGCCTAACCCAAGACCTAGTCCAGACTCAAACCCTAGCTCTAACCCTAGCTGAACCTTAAGCTATGACCGGGGAAGGGGGTAATGTCCTACCGGAGGGGGGTAATGTACTACCGGAGGGGGGGGGGTAATTGACAGGGGGTAATTACTCCTGGGTGGTAATAACGGGGGGGGGGGGGGGGGGGGGTTATGCTCTGTTCCCGTTCGTAATATAGTCTAAATGGAGTAATATAATGGGGACTTCCACAGTCATATGGTAGACCTTTTTTTTTATTTGTAATGATATCGCATGAGTAACGTGCACTAAAACACACCGTCTATAAATCTTAAGCAGGACGGTCCAATACACAGTTCTATCTTACAATAATGCACGTTTTCATTTGTATTTACCCATCAAAGTCTGGGCCACGCAGTCCATAGCTGAAGCTATAGGTCTACATACCGAGCGCCAATACCTGAAGAGCACAGCTATTGATTTGAAATGGGCATAATACTGTGCTGGGTATTCCTGTAAGGAATTCATTTCAATCCGCCGCGCAGTTCTGCCATTGTTTCCTTGTGAAACAAATCGTTGCAGCCATTGCAGTAATGTGTTGCACATTCATTTTTATTCTTTTTTATTTTTATTCTTTTTTAAATTTCATTTGGAATAGATATCACTTTTCATAGGTATCAAAATATTTGTTCATTTTTTTTTAATTTTTTTTTTTAATATGAATGAAGTTATTAAAATAATTAGGTGTATTAACGTATATACTGTAGAATTTGTTCTAATCTGATTTTTGGCAGTTCTACCTTATTTACTTCCTGTCTTGTTTTAGACTGACTACTAGTTAACTGTTTCTGTCTCGAAGAGATCCATTCATTAAAGTTGGATGGCCGTGACCGAAGAAACCAATTCAAGTCTCCTGCCCAGACGCAGGAGCAAATTATTTTCCAGCAGTTATCGAACTTGTCATCTGGTCCATTTAGCGCCGTTATTTTAACGGACAAATATAGTAGAAATCAATATCGGAAACAATTTTTGTGCTCCATTAGAATTGTGTAGGAGATGGTGGTGTATTGACGTGCTTCTGGACAGCTACGACAAGCTAACAATCTCTAGATGCTTTAAATCTCGTGCTGCTTAAATTCAATAGTGGAGTTGGAATAAATCGGTTAATTAAAATGTGGTAGTTTGTTTACATAGCACCTTTCGGACTGTGCATTCGTTGTTGTTGTTATGTTGTTGTTTTTTTCCAGTAATATTCTGTGTAGTGTTTTTCGCTTTTTAAAGTCATGATTACGTCTTGAAAGATAAGATATGGACGGAAAATGACAGTTAAAGTGACTGACTTGTTTCCGTCTAACTCACCTTAGCTCACTTATTAAAGTTAGTATCTTTTGTTAGAAGATTATATGGGAAAGATCCTATATAGACGGAAAATGAAAATTGAGTATAGACAAACTTTGTTCCTTTATAACCACCTTTGCTTACTTCTTACTGTTAGTATCATGGAGTGTCAATGTTGACTATAACAATACGCAACTTACCAAAGTAGACCCACAAGTAATGG